TTAAATGGATCTTTTGTCATGTATGATTTTGTAAAAGCATGCATTGTATATTGTAAAGTATTGGTTCAATGAGTTATGTAGATCTTCCAAATGTTGACACATTTAATTATACAATTATCAAAACATTGCATGTGTTAATATCACCATCAATCTCATCTGAAAGATGTTTAAGAATTGGGAAGCTGTCAAGCTCATGATGGCAGAAACAAGTTTTCCAAAATTCTAATTTTCACTTGTTTGCTCAAATTTTATCACTGGCAACAAATATTGTCAGTTGTTTTCCTTGAAATGACAGTCTTATTTCATTCATTTTCAAGAAAATGTCTGTCAAACATTGTGAGAAAATGTCTGCCAAATCTGAATAACCATAGTTTGTCTGTCACTCAGTCTTCCAAGTGAAAATGGTATTCTGGGAAAACAGTGGCTAGTTCAGCTTGCAACTCAAACAACCATACATGTGCTTTTCCCCAGGGCAGCCTTCATATTTGATATAGAGCAGAGGTGTTTTATTATGTGTACTTCCCACTTCATCACAAAGAATATTCAAAAGACATGTTCTCAAAGTTGAGATTTAACAAAATAATTTTTACTGCTTATTTAAGGATATTCATAAATGGAACTGGGTTATTTATTTATTTATTTATACTGTGAGCATGTGATCAGTCAAAAGGTGCTACTGCCTTGATTCCTGCTAAGGTGCCAGCAGTTTCACCCATCATTGCTTTTGCATATAACATTATGTATGTTAATATATAACAGTGCTTAGAATGATCCCTGATGCATGGCTCTATTATTATCATTATGTATATTATATTATTATGTATGTTATTATTTTCATATATGTGTTACAGGGTCTCCTAACTTGGACTGCTTCTCTGAACATGACAGTACTGAATTATAAATTTACAAAGAAAGTGAATCCTATCTCAATTACTGTAAATACTACCAGTGTGAAAAAGGCAAGAAGTATTACAGAGAGTTTAGATTCCCAGGACCCCTGAAAGGGTTTCAGGGACCTCAGAGGTCTATAAGCCACACTTTGAGAACCACTGCCTTAAATAACCATATTTCTGACTTTTCCACTACCCTCAGATTAAAGCAAGTAGCTGTATCAAGGTAAGGAAAGGAAACCTGAAAGCTCATGTCATGTCCACAGAGATGGATCTGTTTCATTTTCCTTTGCCACAGCTGTGATATGGAGGGAACGGCAGGGAACAAAGACCACCAAAACATATTCTTCTCCACCCTCCCACACTTCTCTAAGGTAGCACTTCCCAAACTTTTCATATTATGACAGGAAGAGAAAATACTGTTTTTTAATGGGCAAAGAGATTAGGTTGTGTAAGGCTTGGGGCCCCTTGCCTGGAGGCACAGACCCTGGAGGTACAGCCTTCAGAAGGGCAGAAGGGTTTGTATCTGTACCCACTCCCAGTGATATGCCAAGGCACATGAGTTGGGCAGGTTTGTACTAAGCTCTTCAACACAGAGGGAGGCACTCAGGACTGGAGGATGTCTATTCCCCAGCCAGCTTCATGCTCCATAAAATTCTTAAAGCTTAGCTCAGATGTGAGAAATCATAAAGTATCTGATTACACTTTATTTATTGTTGTTGTTATTGTTGTTTGTTTATTATTTTCTTTTTGAGTTTTGCTGTCACCCAAGCTGGAATGCAGTGGTGCAATCTTGGCTCACCACAACTCCAACCTCCTGGGTTCAAGCGATTCTTGTGCCTCAGCCTCCTGAGTGGCTGGGATTACAGGTCCTTGCCACCATGCCTGGCTAATTTCTGTATTTTTAGTAGAGACAGGGTTTTGCTATGTCCAGGCTGGTCTGATCTCCTGACCTCATGTGATCTGCCTGCCTCAGCCTCCCAAATGATTACACTTTAAGATAGAGGTCAAAGTATATTAAAGATTGAGGCATAACTTGTCCAGAACACCTTCAGATACAATGTAGTAATTCAAAGCACAGGATCTGACTACCAAACTACCAAGGAGTCGAAGCTCTGGCTCCACACTTACTAGCTGTGTGACCTTGGGAAAGTAACTTAACATCTTGGTATCTCAAATTATCTACCTATAAAATGGGTACAATAATAGTGCCTACCTATTATAAGTATCAAATGAGTTAATATATAACAGTGCTTAGAATGATCCCTGATGCATGGCTCTATTATTATCATTATGTATGTTATATTATTATTATGTATGTTATTATTTTTATGTATGTGTTACAGGGTCTCCTAACTTGGACTGCTTCTCTGAACATAACAGTACTGAATTATAAATTTACAAAGAAAGAGAATCCTATCTCATGATAGTGGGTGAGTAAAAAAGAAAAAAAAAGAGAATCCTGGAGATACCAAGAGGCTAAATGTTAACCTACAGGATTACAAATCTGAGGAACTTTGCTTGGAACAGTGAGAAAAGAGGTGTGCAAGGAGCAGAACATGCCAGGCTTTTTCATTTTACTTATGGCATATGTCAAGGGCTTCCAATCTGAACCTCCTTTTACCTTATCAAGACACAGGTAAGTTTTTGTATTATTTTTTCCTTGGAAGGGGCCATGGCTCAAAAATAATCATTGTAGACTGTTAACCAATCTACATCTTGCCAAAGATTTTTTCATGATGGTATCACGTGGTTAGACTAGTCTCGGGCTTCAAGAGTCTTCTAGAAAATGAGGATGATCCAAAACTCGGACTGTCCCAGACACACCAGATGTCTGCTTCTTTACCTTAGGTTCGATGTTTGTTTGTTTTTTTAACTTAATGGTTTTTGGCAACTATTTAGCCTGACTCATAAGATCATTATAACTCATGAAGAGTTTAAGGCTACATCTGAAGTTGAGGGATTTCAATTGTCCTCTTCATGCAAGAAATCAATATCTGAATTGCAGTTGCAAGGTTGCAAAGCAATGCAAATCATCCTAACAAGAAAATAGTCACCAATGAACTAGCCACTTAAAAACTTAGCCCTTCCTCAAACATCCCTCACAGCTTAACACTGGGACCTAATCCCACTTACCACATCAATGCCTTCTGCAGGTCATTCAATGCTTATGAAATGTAGTAAACACCCCAAAATTACAGTCTAGATAAAGAACAAACCTGTCCATGCAAACTCACTGACAAATGAAGATCTGGCCAACTTGGAGAAGAAAAAAAAAATCAACAAATAACGACACCACAAAAAGTTCAAAAGAAAGTAATTGACAAGGCTGGGCATGGTGGCTCACATCTGTAATCCTAGCACTTTGGGAGGCTGAGGTGGGTGGATCTCTTGAGGCCAGGAATTTGAGAACAGCCTGGACAACATGGTGAGACCCCATCTCTACAAAAACCTTTTTAAAAAACTAGCCAGGCATGGTGTTGTGTGCCTGTATCCCACTTACTGGGGAGGCTGAGGTGGGAGGATTGCCTAAGCCCAGGAGGTCGAGGCAATAGTGAACCATGATCATGCCAATGCACTTGTTCATGGTTTAATCTAAGAGTTTAGTTTGTAGTTGCCATTATAATCCAAACTTTTATCAAATAAGATAAAATGATTTATTTTTATAAGCATTATTTCATTTTTCAAGATAAAGTCTCAGTCTTCTTCCCCATCACCCCCGATAACAAATAAACTGAAGATTTTGGTCCCCAATAAATGGCCTTTTCCTGTTACTAAGACTCCTAAAACAATGAGCATACTGTAAAAATGTAGATAAAACTCAGTATCTGCTCCAAAAGAGACCATCGTTGCCTTCCTCCCCCAAGATTCAACAGGCTTGTCTTTTCCTGTTTCCCCATGGGGTCCTCTTCTGCAGAAAGTGGAGGAGCTTCATCTTTCGGATATACAAGATTCTTCTCAAGTTCATTTCTCTTGCAAAATGAGTAAAACCTAAGTGGGAGCCTTAATAGAATTTTGTCAGGAGATGCTAGGTTATCAGAACCTCAAAGATCGATCCAGGAGAGGTATGAAAGGTCCCTATCACCCAGAATGACTTTCACTAACAGAGATCAACATTACCACCCTGTCAGAAGATCCTCATTGATCCTAAACTTTACTGGTTCTGAGTGCAGAACAACTGCAAACTGAGTTCATCTCTCTGGCTTAAAAAATTATAAATTTACACTGGTTAGAAGTAATGAAGTGACTAGCTTTAAGAAAAGCACTTATAAAATGGCCGCAGGTATAAGTATTTTGTCTTTTTCCGTACTGAAAAGCAACTCTTCTTTAGTTAACTAAAAGTGAAGCTAAAACAGAGACCAGCTAGAATGATAAATTAAGCATGTCGATTGAGAAATTATGCTTAAAATTGTATCTGATTTGGATTTGTTTTCCTCAAGATTTGCAATCAATAAGTACATTGAATATCCATTGACTACTGATAATTCCAGAGCTTTTAAAAGACAGAATTCATATCTATAACGAATCTGCAGTCAAGATCTTTCTCAGTTATATGAATATGTGCATATACAGGTAAATGTTTTTTCTTTGTTGAAGATATTATTTATTATATAATATAGATGTCACATTATAGAAATTCACCTTCGTTGACCCTGGTCCTAATAGGTCCGTTATTATGGCAGTAACAAATGGGCAGTGAGTGCTAGGAGTGGAAATTATTTTATGTGATGCTTCCTTGGATCATGCTAGCATTATTTTATCTTCCTTTTTCCCACATACTAACCCTCACCTCAAATATTTTTCCAAACTCTCTTATGTTTGACTTTTACAAAACAACTCCCAAACTGATTTTATTTTTGCTTCTAGCAACAGTTGACAGTTCTCTCTGCATTTCTAATTTTGCATTAGAGCCCTTCTAAGTGCAAATTTTGTGCCAATATCTATAAAAAGTACATGGCAAATATAGATGAGTATTTCCCTTAATAAGACTTTTAAATTGGTTCTGACTCTGTGAATAGCATTTTAAAATCTGAAATGGGCAGAGAGGAAAACATGAAGTATTTTAACATGTGAAAAGGCCAGTGAGTCTGGACGTGCCTGGATACTTACTCTCTCACACAGCTCTTCAAATGTGCAGTCGGCAATGGTTCCACAGGCTTTATTCAGGCGCAGCTCTCTGCCTTGCACTTTTAGAATCCTTGGTCTAGTTACTATGGGAACATGAACAAAGACTCAATCTTGTCTGGATAATTACTATAAAATTCATCTCTTACAGATAGGAAATGCATAGCTTGATGAATAATAGCACATGATTCAACACATAAATTAGACAAAATGCTGATACAATGACTGCCACTTGAGCGTGGCATCAACCCATATACAGCAATGGAACTTATTAATTGGTCAGTGGAGATTGGGCATTGTGTTCTAAATGTATTCTCTTTCAAGAGAAATTAACTTACGTACAATCATTTTGTTTCTGAGCCAGCTCATCAAACAACTTATCCATGACAGCCTCCACATCAGCTTCACTTGTGCTACAGTGAAAAGAATAATAGAATATGAAATTAATAACACTTGAAGCCAACATCAAACAGCTGCCTGAGCCTGCTTAGCTTTTTGCCCATAAAAAAAAAGAACAGGATGTTATGCTCTAAATACAAACATTAGATTTAGAATACACTTAAAAGCAGAGAATATTAACTCTCAGGTAGATGATTCTGCCTTATTTGCATACACTGAAAGACTTCTGTGCTTCTAGCTGTTTCCAGTAATGAGACGATACAGGCAGAGTAAATCCATTAATACCATGTGTACACAATGAGAAGAAAGCTTCTGGCTCTCTCTTGCATGCAAAACAAGAGCAAATAGACAAGGCAGTCAAGCATCCAGCAAAGTATCCTTTGAAATCTCTACTGAGAGGGTACATGTGAAATTAAATATTGAAGTTGCATTTTAAAAAAATCAAGTCAAGCCACTGACTGAGAGGATCAAACATCCAGAATTAAATTACTACCTTCAAAATACCAACTTGATCTGCACATCAATAACTTTGTCAGACTTCTGGTATAAGTACAATTAGAGACCACACAGTTTCTCTCAAAATTCTCCTTGTTGGAAATTGAAGAAAACTCTCTCCTTCTGTGATGTCCACTGTTACAGCGACTATGAAGTTAGTCTCATCACAGAATCTTTTGTATTCTAATTAGAAATCACCATATGGTTTAGAGAATTCATATATAAATGTGATAATGCTATGGCCTTTTTCCTCTCACCTTTTTTTTTTTAAAGAGGGGTTGGTAAATTAACAGTCAATAAAATAACTGGCAGAAGAAGTAAAAACTGTTAAAAAAGAGCTTCAAGTAAAAATATAAGTTTACTTCAACTCCACATAGAAACTTTTACAGGATGATCTGCCGAAAATGCTTAATTTTAACACACAAATCACTCTTATGTAGTTGTATTAGCAATTAAACTAAATTCTGGACATCCATCTTACTAAAGTCTTATTGAAAGTTAATATGAAAGGTTATCTTTTATTTAGATTAAGCTTAAACTAAACAACTTCTCCCTTGAGATAATTATCAGGTGGTAGGCATTTAACATACAAGCACCCAATTCTTCAACTGTTCTAGAGCAAATGTCCTTAAAATGCAACAAAGCACATAGTCATTATGAAAAGTTTGAAACTGCCACATTCCAAGTAATAACCATTCCATCTCAAAGGACGTTAAAAACATTTGCAATGGCTAACTTTGCAGAAGAAATGCTATTTTACTTCCATGAGGTCTGGTATGATATTCAAATAGAGTGGTATTAAAATAATAAAATGACACTATAGAAAATAATTTTAGAGACAGAAACAATCTTAAAGGTATAAAGAAATCACATAAACCAATGTCAATGCCAATATCAGTGTCCATGCCAAGCACGTGTTTGTTTAGACTTCATTCTTGAGAATTCACTTGGAACCAGTAACACCTTTGGGGTATACAAGCAAAGAAAAAAAAAAGTTTAAAAGTAAGCTACTTTTTGAGCCCATATAGCCAAGACAATCTTAAGCAAAAAGAACAAAGCTGGAGGCATCACTCTAGCCAACTTCAAACTATACTACAAGACTACAGTAACCAAAACAGCATGGTACTACTACCAAAACAGACACATAGACCAATTGAACAGAATAGAGGTCTCAGAAATAAGACCACACATGTACAACTACCTGATCTTTGACAAACCCCACAAAAACAAGCAATGGGGAAAGGATTTCCTATTTAAAAACTGGTGCTGGGAAAACTGGCTGGCCATATGCAGAAAACTGAAACTGGACCCCTTCCTTACACTTTATAAAAAATAAACTCAAGATGGATTAAAGACTTAAACATAAAACACAAAACCATTAAAACCCTAGAAGAAAATCTAGGCAATATCATCCAGGACATAGGCATGGAATAAAAAACTTACAGAATGGGAGAAAATTTTTGCAATCTACCCATTTGACAAAGGTTTAATAACCAGAATCTATAAGAAACTTAAAGAAATTTATGAAAAAAAAAAAAACAACCATTGAAACGTGAGCAAACGACATGAACAGACACTTCTCAAAGGACATTTATGCAGCCAAGAAGCACAGAAAAAAGCTCAACACCACTGGTCGTTAGAGAAATGCAAATCAAAACCACATTGAGATATCATCTCATGCCAGCTAGTATGGCAATTATTAAAAAGTCAAGAAACAACAGGCGTGGGGAGGTGGGAAGAGATAGCATGGGGAGAAATGACAGATACAGGTGAGGGGACGGAAGGCAGCAAACCACACTGCCATGTGTGTACCTATGCAACAATCTTGCATGTTCATCACATGTACCCCAAAACCTAAAATGCAATAAAAAAATAAAAAAATAAAAATAAAATAAAAAAAAAAGAAACAACAGATGCTAGCGAGGCTGTGGAGAAATAGGAATGCTTTTACACTGTTGGTGGAAATGTAAATTAGCTCAACCATTGTGGAAGACAGTATGGTGATATCACAAGGATCTAGAACCAGAAATACCATTTGACCCTGCAATCCCATTACTGGATTATATACCCAAAGGAATATAAATCATTCTACTATCAAGATAGATGTACATGTAGCCGGGCACGGTGGTTCAAGCCTGTAATCCCAGCACTTTGGGAGGCTGAGACGGGTGGATCACGAGGTCAAGAGATCAAGACCATCCTGGTCAACATGGTGAAACCCCGTCTCTACTAAAGATACAAAAAAATTAGCTGGGCATGGTGGCACATGCCTGTAATCCCAGCAACTCAGGAGGCTGAGGCAGGAGAATTGCTTGAACCCGGGAGGCGGAGGTTGCGGTGAGCCGAGATTGCGCCATTGCACTCCAGCCTGGGTAACAAGAGCGAAACTCCATCTCAAAAAAAAAAAAAAAAAGATAGATGTACATGTATATTTATTGCAGCACTATTCACAACAGCAAAGACATGGAATCAACCCAAATGCCCATTAATGATGGACTGGATAAAGCAAATCTGGTACATATACACTATGGAATATTATGCAGCCATAAAAAGGAAAAATATCATGTCCTGGGCGGACACAAGGATGGAGCTGGAAGCCATTATCCTCAGTAATCTAACACATGAACAGAAAAGCAAATACCACATGTTCTCACTCATAAGTGAAAACTGAACAATGAGAACACATGGACACAGGGAGGGAAATGACATACACCAGGGCCTGTTGGGGGCAGGGGCAGGGAGAGGAAGAGCATCAGGATAAATAGCTAATGCATGTGGGGCTTAATAGCTAGGTGATGGGTTGATAGGTTCAACAAACCAACATGGCACACATTTCCTTATGTAACAAATCTGTTCATCCTACACATGTATCCCAGAACTTAAAATAAAATATATTTTTAAAAAAATGAGCTGCTTTTTAAGGAATATAGCAAAAAGAGAGCAACCACCTACCCAGTATGGTCTGCTGTCATTTAGAAAGTTAATCTTTCCTTAGGACAGGCACATTACTCAACATAAGGGGAAAACTGAATTCTGAAAGACAAAGGACTTATAAGAACTGCATAAAGATAGCTCAATGGACAAGAAACAGAAGACAGGTCTCTAAAAGCATATTTGGTGAATAAATAATCTCTTATAAACTTCCTCAGTGATTTCTTTTTTACTTTGTGGCCTATTATATATTATATTATCAAAATGTGACTCACTAAACTTCAATCAGGTCACCTGAATCCCCATCAGTGATGGACCAGATAAAGAAAATGTGGTACATATACACCACAGTACATATACTACGTGTGGTACACATACACTTAGGTACATATACCCAAGTCACCTGTTAAATTACAATACCTGATTTTATATATAGTGAAATTACATGTGAAATATCACAAAATTTTTATTATAACACTGTCTTATAAGAATTCTATTATATTATCACAGTTACTCAGAAATGACAAAATAAAAAATTTTAATGGCGTAAGCTGGGCATGGTGGCTCACGACTATAATCCCAGCACTTTGGGAAGCCACTTTGGTGGCCAGTTTACTTGAGGCCAGGAGTTGGAGACCAGATTCACCAACATGACAAAACCCCATCTCTACAAACAATATAAAAATTAGCTGGGCATGGTGGTGTGTGCCTGTAATCCCAGCTATTCAGGAGGCTGAGGCAGGAGATTCCTTGAACCCGGGAGGTGGAGGTTACAATGAGCCAAGATTGCGCCACTGCACTCCAGCCTGGGTGACAGAGCGAGGCTGTGTCTCAAAAAAAAAAGAAAGAAAGAAAAGAAATAGGAAGGAAGGGAGGGAGGGCGGGAAGGGTATTGCTGTTAAGGGCTTAAAAATAACTGCAGTTCATAAAAGCAGCTTATGTAACGTGTAACTGTTATCCATCTAAGCCAACTTGCACTCAACCTCAGGGAGTATGTTGTATTGACCTCCTGGGAGACAGGAACCTCATCTTCATATTGTCTTAAAAGCAGGAAGGGTTGGTGTGTTTCTGTTTTTTTAGACATATATAGATTGATATAAAATAAATAAAAATGCCATGAAAGAAATCCTTACCAGAAAGAAATATATTTATAATCCCTTAACAACAACAACAACAACAACAACAACAACAAAAAAAAAACTTGTCCTTTCACATTTCACTCAGGCTTCAGATTTTCCTACTTAAGAGGATGCATCGGTAGAGTTCCTTGAATTGTTTTAAGGAAAAGAATTAGAAAAGTAAAGGCAGAAAGAAAAAATCAGCTTGTCTCCTTTAGCCTAAAAGATTCAGAGTCTTATTTATTATCCATTTTCATATCCAGTTTAAATACCTTTAAGCATGTTTTGCAATTCTAGTAAAATTTTTAGATGATTCTGAACTATTTCAATGTGTCATACAAAGAATAACAAAAGCTAACATTTGTTGAATGACTATTACATAGGAGTTAATTTATAAATACACCACCATCTTACCATGTAGGTTAAGTTATTATCCTATATTTACACAAGAGAAACTGAGACTCAGAAAA